GGTGATAGAGCACTGGCCAAGCGTAACACAGTCCTGGGTTGAAGTTTCAGCACCATCAAGACAATACATAAGGAAATGGAGGGCCTAGTTTAAATCCTTTTGTATGAGTTATGAGCTGTCTTTAGAACTAACTTCTTTTCTTCCTTCTCTTTCATTTCCCCCTCTTTCATTTTTGGGAGGCACTGGAGATTCAACTTAGGGCCCTCCATATACCACTGAGCTATACCCTAGTATCTGATATCTAACATAAAATGAAGGATGGTGTCTGACTCTAGGGTGAAGCTAGGGAATCTCATACAGCATCCACCTGGCTCTCCTAGGATACCTTTTTCCAGCACTTGAGAAATACAGGAAATCGGAGGCTGCTACACCATGAGAACCGCAAGCTCTGGGAAGGCCCACACGAGGAAGCCTGAGCTGCATGGGAGGAGGAGGTGCAGCTGGTCAGTCACTGACTCCGGCACACCCCTTGTTAATCCAGCTCCAGCCACTAGCTATGTGCACCAGAAGTACCCAGGCACACTGCCCAAAATCCTGTGCTACAGAAACCAAGAGAGAAAGTAAGTTACTCCTGCTCTTCCACTCCTGGGAACCGAGGAGGAGAAGTGTTAGGCAACAGTGGGAAGCTAGAGCGAAGGAGTCACTTCCAGTTCAGGTTTCCTTTCCAGCTGCTCTAAGAGTCCTGTCAAAGTCACCCCAAAATACACTGAGCAGGATGAAAAGAAGCAAGATATTATCTCTACAACAGTCATCCATTCATCCAAAAACTTACTGATCGATCACTCACTGAGTACCAGATTTGTGACTTCATGCTATGTACACAAAACAGTCAGACACAGGTACAGCCTTTAGCTCAAGGTCTAGCGAGGGAGACTGACTGAAGATACCTTAACTCCTCACAAGTTACAGTGTGTGAGGCACACAGTAGAACTGCTACAAGCACTGGGTGTACTTTCAAACTCCCTCGGTGGGTCTGTAATGACAAGCAGGGTGGGACATCAGTACAACAGCCCTTGTTGACATTTTACTGATGGGAGGCATGGCAGCCTGGTAAGGGGAAGAATTTAGCAATGCGTCAGGTTATCATATCAAACTTTTAAAAGGTCACAAACTTTGGCAGCTAGGAGCCATAGCAAAAAGGAACAGAGAGATGACAGGACACCTGGCACCTTCCTCAGGTCTCTGTGTATGAGCACAGTTGTGCAAACACAGACACATAAATGAATCTTATAAAACCTCCTGCCCCTGCCTACATCAGTTCCAGAGTGGTCTAGATCAAATGCACGCTCAGAGCTTCTTAGCGAATAAGACCATCTATAAAATACATTAGGACCAATGCTCATGCCTCTAATTATTCCCTGGGGATGGACGTAGCCACAGGACCAGGATTCTCACATTATTACTCTAAGGGCCAAACTCTCTTCTGGAGACACAAAGTAGATTAGCAGTCGCCTGGGACAGGGAAGGGAACAAGAGGCTGATGGCAAAAGGGTGCAGGGTTTCCTTGTGGGTGCTGGACATGTCTGTCTATAGGTGACTACAGTGATGGCTATCCAGCTGTGAAAGGCACGGACCTGTATCCTTCAATGGGTAAACTACGTAGTATGTGAAGTCATAAAGCTGTAGGAAGGAAAGCACCCTATCTAATTCTGATGGAGAAATCCTGCTCATGTGGACCCTAGCGCACTGGTGCATTATGCCCTAAGCCTTCCTCAGGATTTTAGATCACTCCTATGAATAGTTTCTCTCTCATATAGGCGATCACACAGAATATTCTCAGGATCACAGCGTCTGGGCTCTATGCCCTGTGCAACAGTTCCATATTTTTATGCCTTTTCTCTAAAAATAAGGCAGGTGAGCAGGTGTGCTTTAGTTACACACTTCTGACTGGCTCACTGGCTGTGTAATCTATGGCAAGTCACTCAGACTCATACAACAGCCATTTCTCCACATGGAAAACAACAATAGCACCCATGTTCTTAGGGCATTATGAGGGCTAAGTAAGACAGCATGCAAGGTGCAGTTGATGATACCTGTGGCAGTAGATGCCAGATTGAACTGAAGCTAGCAACATTATTTTATTTTGTTTTTTGAGGCAGGGTTTTCCTTCCCTCCCTTCCTTCCTTCCTTTTTCTTCTTTTTGTTGCTATTGTTTGTTTGTTTGTTTGTTTGTTTGTTTGTTTGTTTTTTGAGACAGGGTTTTTCTATGTAGCCCTTGCTGTCCCGGAACTCACTCTGTGGATCAGACTCGTCTCAAACCCCTAGAGATCATCTGCCTCTGAGTACTTTGATTAAGAGTGCATGCCACAATGCTCAGCCAACAGATTTCCTGCCATCATCAATGCTCACAATGTACACATCATCGATGCTCACAGCTGTCCTTGCATGGACTCAACCAGTAAACTCATGTCACGTTCAGAGCACCTGGGTTGTGTGGGATGAGAGAAGAATCAGATTGTCCATTTTATGATGGGAGTCTGGAACATTTCACAGAGCTTCAACAATGCTAAGTCATCTATCTCAGCTCACCCATGATCCTGGCACCTGGTAGTTCAGATGGCCTACAGTAGCAGGAATTATCTCTAGATCAAAAATTCTCAAATTCCAAAGGTCAGAAACACTTTTGACAATCTAAGAAAAACTATGGACATTTCCCAAGAAAATGTGTATGTGTAAGCATCCAGGAGTGCCTATGACTATAGGAACCCTGGCATCCTTGGGTCTTCCCACAAAGCCCAGCAGTGTCAAGGTGCACAGAGCTCTGGCCCTCAATGTTTCAAACGCAGCAAGAACAAAGGCTAACCCTCTTAAACTCAATTTGGGAAAAAACATCCTGGAAACTGACAGTTGCAACCAAGTCACTGCAAATATGCATCTAGGGGATTCCCAAAGGCCCTAAGTCAGAAGAGGACACATCGAGGGGTCCTGGGAAGCAGCTGGCAGGCAGGGTCCACAGGCTGATAAGCAGGGGAAGAGCTCTATTCTAATGGGGGCTTCCCACTAGAGACCCTGGGTCTACAAGCAGAGAAGAGTCTCTGCAGAGGGGCTGGAGGGTCAAAATCCCCCAAATCCTGGAACTACTAGCAAGTGGAAGAGAAAAAAACGCAGTAGCTTCTGCCCTGGTTACAAGGAGATGGTCTGAAAGGAGCTGGGTGGAGTGAACTGTGCGTAAGAAGCTGAGTCACGAGTGTACATGATGCCAAGGGAGCAAAGCACAGACCATCTCTAAATCCTGGGTTCTTTACCTGTAAAAACAGTGCCCACTGAGTACTGCTGCCAAAGTAAAGAAAACGGGTGCTACTTTCTCTAGGTCCTTTCCTTCTATGACTGTGGAGAAGCACGGAACAGAAGTACAAGGTGAGAACTGGAAGCTTTCTCTACCAAGAGTTCAAAACCTGGTCTTACTACTACACTGTTACAGAGAGACTCTAACCTCTTCAAACCCCGAGTTCTTTGCCTGTGAAATGGGGATAACAACTTCCCCACATGAACTAGAAACTAAAAATATTAAGTGTATAGCACTTGGCTCAGACAAGACATTCAAGGCCTAAGTTACTTTCATCCAAAAAGTGAAGTAAAAGCCACAACTTTTGAGTAGTTGAAAAATAAAAGGCACAGAGCTTTTTAAAACGGCTGGAGTGAAATGAAACCTGAAGGTAGTTGTGCCACTTTCTGGCTTTTGATCATTAGTCAAATGCTGTGACTTCTAGAAACCTAGAGTTCCTGCTCCATAAACCACAGATATAACATGAATTGCTGAGTAAGATGCCAGGAAGAGCATGGCCTATTCCTACAAGGCTGTCTTCCTCACACATCCCTGGTTGAGCAACAAAAGCACAACAGTCCAATGACATCTTCAGAAAGAGAGATGAGCTCACCACCAGGCTCCCAAATATTTTCTCACCATTCTGGTTGTAGCTAAGACCTGGGAGACATGGATCAACTGGGCACAGGTGGCCTTTGTTTCTTACTCCCTTCACAAGGACACCTTCATGTGTGGGCAGATGTCTGTGGGCCACATACTCCCAACAACAATCCACTGTGAGTCACAGGAATTTTAGATTTAGGAGTTTTAGGTGATGCATACCTTTCATCCCAACACTTGGGAGGCAGAGGCCAGCCAGAGTAAAATGGTAAGGCTTGGAGAGAGAGAGAGAAGGAGAGGGAGAGGGAGAGGGAGAGGGAGAGG